TGCATGGACCAGTTTTTCAGCATCACTTTGGGACAGGATGCTCCTGAATTTGAAATATTGCGCAGGTGAAAGAATAATGTAAATTCAAAAGTTATTAGAAAATGGTCAGACAGAAGAGGATTTAGGGGAAAAACTGTTGTGTTCAGTTTTGATGCCATTTGTCAGAACAAGATCAAGAGTGTGATTAAAACAGTGAGTGTGTTTATTTACAGTTTGAGAAAAGCCAACAGAATGCATTGTTGAAGCTGTCATTGTCACCATCTACATGAATATTAAAGTTGCCCACTATGATTATTTTATCTGTCACTTAATCAGACAGAAAGTCTGAGAATTCAGTTTAAAACTCTGAATAAGGAGCAGGTGGATGATAAACAATAACAAATAGAACTGGCTTTGAGTTTTCCAGTTTGGGTGTGAGAGACTCAGAGTGAGGCTTTAAATGAGTTATAACTATGTTTAGGTCTAGAGTTGAGTAATAGGCTGGAGTCAATGACTGCTGCCACACCTCATCTCTTATAATAGAATCTAGAGCCACAACTAACGACAACTGTATTTACCAGTTTACCTGCTGAGAATTTTTTCTCAGCAGGTAAATCTAGTTTGTGTAACAAAACGATACCTGCCTCCCATCACATCCCTGGTTTCTGCTCTTCTACATACTGTAACAATACACAATGCCCAGGCAGAAAAAAGCCAGCCATGTCCCATCACTGTTCCTTTTATAGATGGATTTATAGAATTATTTGATTGTTCCTCACTTTTGGAGATTGTTAAGAGTGGGCTGCTGATGAGCCAAGACTCTTATATCAGCTCTGAGAAGTGAGGAGTGAGGAGGCTGCTGGAGGTGACATGAGTGACAATACATGAGGGCATCTGGTAGAAATTTTGCTTAACATAAGTTCAGGATTACACCATCTATATATATTACACACAACAGCAGGTTGTTATATGTGACTGGGCATATGCCAGCAATAGTCAGAACATTCTAGACTAGTTTATGGATTTCAAGCATAACTATTCTCCTAGGTGGAACAATGTTCCACAAGGCCTCAAAGTCTGCATTTTAGCCTCTGTATACAGTACTACACAAATTTAGATGCACTGTTAAAGGTAGCTAGAACAGGCTAGAATTTGAAGGTAGATGCCAGGAATGACTCTTGTAATCCCTCTGATTCTTTGTGAAGCTTGTAACATATTATTATGCTGTAGTATGTGCTATGTTGGTTAAGTTAACTGCCTGAACTGGGAAACGTTTGTCCTGAGTCTTTTTCTATCAACCAAAAACAAAGGTCAACCAATTCCTTTCAACATCTTTCCCCTTTTTTGGAAATGATTAGAAGCTTCAAATGATGGCTTGCAGTGAAGTATGTCTCGTGTTGTCTGAATGGTGTTTCCTCAGCCAATACATTTTCTACTTGCATCTTTTCTGTGCTTCTCATGTGGGAGGGAATAAGACACTACAGTTGATTTGGCGTCCTGTTTTAATTTTAGTTTTAGTCTAGTCTTTGTGTGAAGCTGTCATTTTGGTTTTTATTAGTTTTAGTCACATTCATACTCTTTTTAGTCTAGTCAAGTTTCATTCAACTAAAAGTCTGAGCATTTTAGTCTTATTTTAGTCAGAATTATCCATGACTATTTTCATCTAGTTTTAGTCAACGAAAACTGATGACATTTAGTCTAGTTTGTCAATGAAAATTGTATTTTAGTCTCTCTTTAGTAATGCAAATCTATTTAACCCAGTCAATAGAGTATAAGTACCTAGTAGTATAGACGAAACCAAAATTTTCTTTTAGCCAAACCCATTTCAAACAAGGTTATCTTATTATATTATTGTTACCTTATAGACTCAAGAATACATCCAATACACATTTTGTGTGATTTTGTGGCCACATTTCTCCCCATCTTTTCCCACAACACATTGTTTTCTTTTCCACTTCTTTGTAATTAAAGTTTTTCCAAATGTTGTTTCTTCTATTTCAAAGACGAACCTGGCCAGCCGGCCAGCGGTCCCTTTCTCTGTGTCAGACTTAACTTTGTTTGTTGTCGTCTTCTAAATAATGCCGTGAGTGGGGCTTAAGGAAGTGACGTTGCCTGCGTCTGCACAGTGCGGCTTGATGTGGACCCTGAAGCGAGACACAGGAAACAAAAATACTACAAAACAATAATAATAACGTGACTGAACAAGACGAAATAACGTTATACCATTTCGTTTCGTCTCGTTTTGGTCAAAGAAAATGAAGAGACATTTTGGCATAGTTTTTATTTTGTAAACCACATTTAGTCTTGTTTTATTCGTCAACAATATTGCATTGTACATTTGATTATAGCCATCGTCACATGACCAGCATTTACGTTGCATCTCGTCTCGTTTTCATCACGTGATAAAGGTTTGTTGACGATGATATTTAGTCATAATTTTTGTTGACGAAAGCAACATTATAAGTCACAAGGAAAAGATGCAAGTGGGGGAAACATGGATGCAATTAAGGGAAATAGGATTTACCCAGAGAACAGAGGGAAAGGAAAAACACTCTGGGCACATGCCAAGTCTCATATGTGCATTCACATTTCCCTCTTTATACTTGCATCTCAGTCCCACCCATGTGAGATGCAAGAAAAAATGTGAGGAGAGGAATCAAGGAGATGTTTTTAGAAACGAGATGTCTTTTCCTCTGATCCTTCATCTGAAGCATCCAATCAGCAGCTGATTTCTGATGATGGGGCGTGTCTGTTTATAAAAGACTTCTGGAAAGAACACTCTCTTGTTTCCTAACTCCTCCTTCCTCAGAGCAGATATAAGAATCTCTATGGACATTTTCGATCATTGCTCAGCTGGGAAGTCAGTCCGTTGAATGATCATATACTGTAAGTGACTTTGGCTGTCTTCACAGTTTCCTTGTCTAGCACAACAGACCTATGTAATTAAATTAGATTAAAATTTACATATAAAAAACCACCATGCTTTCGTCTGTCATCCTCTCTGGCTATGATTGGATTTGACTGATGTCCTAGTTAAAAGCAGGGAGCAAAATTTCTGCAAACTGCCTCTGAAGAAGCAATAGCAGTGGAAATGACATGATGGCGTGTGTTTGACTGTGTGTGTACTGCATATGTGGTAAAGATTTTCCTGTGTATGTTTTCATTAAGTCCTTGGGTGAATCGCTTAAAGCACACCTACCAATGGTATGAGGGGAGAATTATCACAGCTGCCTGAGAGGAAATGCAGCCAACACATTTGCAACACTTTTCCTATGACCACAGTTTATTTAGAAATAGCTTTTTTGCTGGTTTGGTGTTAACTAGTTTATTTTAAAAATGTAATTTCTATGCTTTGTCTCTCTTTGGCTCACAGGGAAATTTCCCCTTGAGGCAAATACAGTTTTCACTCTCCTTCTATCTGTCTCTTTCTCTGTCAGTATGGTGGAGGTCCTCGGGCAGTCACGGCTGTGTCCAGTGGTGTTCCTGAGGCCCCTCGTCTGGAGCTGATGGAACAGGATTCCAAAGACTCGGCTCAGAGCAGCAGCACCTCTTCCAGCTCTGAAATCCAGCCAGAGTACAATGTAAGATATGTGTGTGTGTGTGTGCCTTTGTATTACTTACATTATGAGGACCGAAACCTGTTAACACACTCACATTGGACTTGGGCATCCTTGTGGGGACCAGAAGCTAGTTCCCACCACGAAATTACTGAATTTTAGGGTGACAACATGGTTTAGTGTTAGGATAAGGTTAGATGAGGGTCAGGGTTAGACAAGTAGTGGTTGTGGTTAAGTTTAGGTCTACAGGAAATGAATGTAAGTTAATGTAAGGTCCCCACAAGGAATAAAAACACAGCATGTGTGTGTATGTGTATCTGTGTCTGCTGGCGACACTGATAAATGTGCATATAGAAGAGGAAGGAATGAAGGTGAGAGAATTAGGTGGGCGACAGGACCAGAAAGTAGACATACATCCATCTATAGGGGCATATAGATGACTTGGAAGATCTTCAAAAAAAAGAATGAAAAGGAAACAAGCGTATGCAGGTGCCAGACATGTTTAAAAATGCATTTAGTTTACTTTTTGCATATTTGTATTATTATATTATGTTTTTTAACTGAAGTTTTTTTAGATTCTAGAAATGGGAAGTACATTTTCCAAGTGTGAATGTGCTGGCATTTGGTGGCATCAATGTCCCACGGCCAAATTGAAAGTGGAAATAGGAAAGAGATTTTCACCACTCCTCATGCATACTTCTTCCCATCCCGACCTAACGAGATACTTAACATATTTATTACAGATGGTTGCCAAATTTGTGTTCTGGAAGGGAAATCAAGTTTCAAGTGATGACATAAGTACACACCAGCTCTGAGTGACTCAGCAAAACATTTTTTGCCTATAGGTGGCGCTACTTCAGCATGATTTATATTACAAATCATGAGTCAGATATTCTTTACATTTAGCACGATTCATCCTTTTGTAAAACTATGTTCTGCAGAATTTAGGTTTTCTAATCAAATGGTTAATGATCTATAATATTCATGTTTTAATTCAGGTCCATGTGAAAATCAAAATGATTTGTAGTGTTAATGCAGCAAAAGTAATGGATTGTGCTGCGATGGAAATTTGACTTCACAGAGTTTTACCTTGGAATTCAGATGCTGGAGCTGGGAATCACGTGAGATCTGAGTAACTATGTTTCAGTTTCAGTTAACCATAATACCAGTTCAAGACAGATTAGCCATTTTTAGCCATTATTAGCACTACCATTTTATAACAAGGTATTTTGTAGTATTTTGCACATACAAACAGTATAGCAACGTGTTCACAGATAGAAGTTAGACAGTACTGTATGTACGTCTGTTTCACTGAGACTCAAATAAGACACAAGGGCAAAATAACAATGTATCGCTACATCTTTTTACTGCTGATGCATCAAGCAACCATCTTGGATTTTGAGGTTGAGGTTGGTGTGGTTCTTCCGACTCTGTGGGAAATCTGACCTTAGGGGGCATTCCAGTTGAAATTTCTGACTGGGAACTTGGAAAATGTGACCTCCCAGTTGAAATGGAGTGCACCACCTAAAATGCAGGGGGGTTTTTTATGCATATACTGTATTTTAAAAGTCTCAAATGGAATTTACAGACATCAGAAATACACCTAGAAATCACTTTGAATCTTTCAGTCATAATGAGTAGAAGGAAAAGGTTAAGGAGGAGTAAAGGGAAAGAAAAACAAAGGGGCAGGCAGGGGAGAGAGATTATTCTAAAAAGGGGAAGTGAGGGGTTGGCACTGAGAGAAAGAGGAGCAGGGTAACTCCCATTACAGACCACAGAACCTCCTCCACCTGGCCTTGTGTTAGTGCAGGTGGCCACAAACACATTGTCTGGCTGTGTTTGCTCTGCATCAATAGTTTCATTCAGGTCATGATGGCCACTAGTCACCACAGCTGGGCCTGTGTGTGTGTGTGTGTGTGGAGGGGGGGTGCATATACTGATCTGCATGTGAGCATGTCTTCCTCCCCATGTCGCTACACTTCAGCGTTTACCTGTGCATGCATGGCGTCTCATAGAACATGTGTGTCTTGGTGTGAACTCAGTGGAGCATAGCATTCTTCAGTGGAATCAGACTCCATTACAAAGCCTGTGGGCTTTTTCTTTAGGCAAACTGAAAGATCACATAGCCTGGGCTCTCTGGGATTGCAAGCATGTAAAGCTATTTCACTCATAAACACATAACTTTCCAAAGAAAAAAGAGGAGCAAAAAAACAAAACAAAAAAAGAAACGGTCATTTCAAGTATTATCAGTGATTTTGGACATTTCTTTTAATCGTTCTGCACATGAAAAATTGAAAAGCAAACAAAGACACATCGTTTGCTTTGCGGAAAAGTAACACGAGCATATAGACAACAGTGCATTGTCAGACTGGTGCTAGCAAAGAAGATCATTCAGAATCTTTTATGGTGATATTTTCATTGATCTACTCAGCTTTTTCTCTTAGCAGATTTTTGTTTGACTTCTTACTCTCTTCTCTTCTTTTCACCTTCCCTCACCTTTGATCCTTTCCATTTAATTGCTGAAGAATTTTTTTAACTGTGTTAAACCGGAGAATGAATTTCCTCCAAAATCTTGATCCCCTCATTCTAGTTTTAGCTGCATTTTAATTTTAGTTGTAGATACTCGATCAGCTTCCCCCCATTTCTCTAGTTTTTTCTATTTTTACAATCTTTGTCCCAGCAGAGAAGAAACTAATGTTTCTTTACTCTATAACTGGAAGGCGTGTTCAGCTATTGCATGATACAGATATCGTACAGAATTTTGTCTGGTGTCAATCTGACTCTCGCTCTGTTAAGTTCAGTCTCTCTCTCTTCTGCCATGCACTCATGTCTCCTCCTCTTTTCATCAAGACAACCAGACAAAAAGATCAGAACTGATGAAGCCTCTTGGATGAGAGGTGAAACATCTTCGACCTAGAAATCTAGTCCAGTTGATTTTTTTCTAAGGTTTTTTTTCAGCAGACAAAAAGATATTGCTGTCACAATGTTTCCGGCACCTGAACCGTTACAGTATGAAACAGAGAATTTTCCAAAGATTGTCAAGTCAAATTGATCTAACCCAGTTTCCTTTTCTCTACACCTTGACACACAGCAAAGCAACGGGCTATCTCTCTATGTTATATTAAATCAGATGTTTTCTCTGCTTCTGTGTCTTTCTGTGCTTAAATAAGACATTTTTTCCTCTGCCTCCTACACATCTCTCCTACATCCAGGACAACAAGGGTTTTGGCATCGGTGAGCTGGTGTGGGGGAAGATCAAGGGATTTTCTTGGTGGCCTGGCATCGTAGTGACTTGGCGTGCCACGGGCAAGCGTCAGGCTAACCACGGTATGAGGTGGCTGCAGTGGTTTGGAGATGGCAAGTTCTCTGAGGTGAGGAGAGAAGGAGCAGTCAGACTGAAAATAACAGTTGGTATATCTTGAATTGTGTTTGACTCCATGTTTGCGTACGCAGGTGTCAGCAGACAAACTGGAATCCATCACTGCCTTCCCCAAGTTCTTCAGCCAGGCATCTTATACCAAGCTGGCCTCCTACCGCAGGGCTATCTTCCAAGCACTGGAGGTAAGCTTCACGCTTTATTAGTCTTAACATCTCTGTCTGCTAAAACTCAGAGGAACATTTCTGGCTGGTGTCCCCACTAACATTTACCGCATGTAGGAATCTGCTGTTCTAAAAGGGAGTTTCATCTGTTTTTTGAACTTTTGCACCACCTTTCAGAAAGCAACTGTAAACAAATCTAGGACACATTTTGTAAATTAATGAATCAATTTCTGAAGAAAGAAAAATAAACTATCAGAGTTGAACAGCGACATCATTTGACATCATTTCATAAAAAGTTATGCAACTTTTTTTTAAATACTGGCAACTTCTGAATCAAGTCCTGCTCAGTTTGTTGTAATAAAACGTTGAAACCCTAAGAGAGGTTCTCCTGGTGCAACAATATTTAAACAGGATGGATGCATAACTAAGGCTAACATAAAGTACTATGAACCATTGTGAGTGTTGTGATATAAGTAGTACACAGATATAATTGGTGGTCATTTGCATTGTGACAATCTAAAAGTCAGAACTTGATGATATAAAGCAACAGCACGGAGATATAATAACTGCTTTGTGAGCAGATTTTCATCTGAGACACAATCGGTGAATTGTGTTGTTTTATGAGATCCAGACCATTAGGAATCAGTTTTTAAATGAAATGAGAGGACAAACAACAAGGATTAGTGTGTGTGTTCTTGTATTTACTACACAGTGAGGACATTTTGGTTGGTCCTCACTTTCTGAAACAGCTTTTTGAAGGTCAAGATTTGGTTTTAGGATTCAGGTTAGAATTAGATTTAGTTTAAGGTTAGGTGTTAGGCATTTAGTTCTGATGGTTAACGTTAGGGTAAGGGGCTAGGGAATGCCTTATGTCAGCGAGTGTCCTCACAAAGATAGAAATACTAGTATATTGGTGTGTGCATTCTTGTTTTTATGTAGTCGTGGGGTCTGAAATCCAGGAGTTAATATCTTTGGGGGCCTGGTAGTGTCAGAACGGGTACTGGTGGACCCAATGTACTCACACACACCGGGAGTGGAACACAAAAGGAGTTTATTGGATAACAAAGGTAAAGTTACTGGGTACAGGAGAGGCAAGGCAGATGCAGAGCAGGCAGTACTGAAGAAGCAGGTGAACGAGGAGAATGAGGAAGACAAGGAAGGAGATGGCTGGGTCACAGGAATGGAGGGGAGTATGCTACACAGGTAAGTTGGGAGAGTGGCATCTCATGGGAGGACAAGGAAGATGAGGTTTGATTGCAAGACGGACGTGAGGTCTCCACACAGGTAGGTTGGAGCAGTTAAATAGGACGACGAATACGCACAGTCTCAGAGTAGTTCCAGAGTTCAGGAGCCAGGATCTGTACAGGAATAAATACACGGGAGCACGGGAGAGTTCACTAACAAACCAGTGGGGAAATAATGGAAAAGGGCGTATATATGGGAAGCTGAACCAGGAGGTGGATGTGACTCTGGCTGAAATACACTGGCTGGGACATGACAGGCAGGGAAAGACAGGGAAAACCAACAGAAAAACAGGAAGCATAAGACTGAACCACAACAGGTAGTCTACTTGAGGGGACGGTAGGCTGTGTCCTGAGTAGGATGAGTAGTTAGTTGAATTTTAGGAAAATTACAGGGTATAAAGTCAGAGCAAGTGTCGGCTTTGGTCAATGTTAGGGTAAGTTTCCTGGAAATGAATGTAAGTCTATGTATGGACGCTGTAAGTGACGAACATAAGTTTGTGTGTCTGTTTGTGGAGGTGTTAGCAGCTGATTATGTGACATCTCACATGCCTCTGGAGCGAGACTCGTGCTCATGTCTGTACTGGGCATGTTATCACTGGCGCATTGGAAGCACTTAGCGTATAAAAAGGGCACAGAGAAGCCTACAGAAACACCTTGGAGAAGGGGAAACTACAGTTTATATCTCTGACACAGTACATGATGAGGGAATTACTGGCTACACATGAAATACATCTGTATGTACAGTGTTTCCAACTCATGGTCAAAACACACTTCAAAAAGAACCGTGTGCTCAGTAGAACTGATGTTATAGACGTTGCTTCTGTTACCTATTGCACCTGTTTACATTTGGAGAAGTACAAATATTACACGTCATTTTTAGGTGGAGGTTTGCTTTTAAAAAACGAGAGAAAGATGGAAACTGTAAAACTTTAATACAGTGTTTTATTTTTATCACAATAAAATTTTTCATTAAGGATCATTTTTCATTAAAGTTACAAAAATGTCTGTGAAGTCTGTCAATTAGATTTTTTAGAAAGAAAGAAAAATGGGATTGGCAGGTCAGACTTAAAAAAAAATTGGAAATCGGAGTTGGCCAAAAGATTGCAATTGGTGCATTTCTAGTTTTTTATAATAACGCTCTTTCAATTAGCCTTCAAAATTGGTCACCTCTCAACAGATAATAGACCTTGTGCTAGTAGTTTGTCCACTCAATCCTGTTTGTGCTGTCTGATATAGCCTAAAACATGGGTAAAACACCGACATGTCTCAGCACTTTGTCTTTCACTGTACATCAGTCCTTTTACATTTTTCTTTCTTTTCTGACACTTTTCACTTCAGTTTTCATCTTTCATTCTCATCTGTGGTAGTTTTTCAGTGGTGCATATTTTAGAGGGAGACTGTTATTTCAGTGTTTATCCCTCTGTCTGAATGAGTGTTTATGTGTGACTGCTTAAAGACAGCCAGCTGACAGATGTTTCTGTCAGTTAAGCGTAATTAGTGTAGAAGCTGAGCTGCAGGCCTCTTCCTGGTGCTGTTTCCATTTCTCTTCTTGTGGCCTCTGGGTTTGGTCTGCCTTGTTCACCTCTTCTTCTCTGCCTGTCAGTCTCTTGTCTCCGTGCTCTGATTGTAACAAATCCTGTCAGAATGATGCATCTTTACATGGGGTTCCACTACTTTAAACATGATACTGATTGACCTAAATTAGTTGATTATAATTAAAGGTCAACTTTCAACCACGATCTGTTACCACCAAGTTAATGCTGATGACTGAGTCATAATGTCACCTTATTTTGCCTGTTAAAACATGAAACCTGTTGGCCTAATTGGCACGTAGCTGTAAAAGGTCAATGGGTGAAATTGTTTAACTCCAGTTTGATTTTTAGGATACTGCGATAAACTTTCATCATTAACTTTTGAAATGAGAGGACAAACAACAAGGATTAGTGTGTGTGTTCTTGTATTTACTACACAGTGAGGACATTTTGGTTGGTCCTCACTTTCTGAAACAGCTTTTTGAAGGTCAAGATTTGGTTTTAGGATTCAGGTTAGAATTAGATTTAGTTTAAGGTTAGGTGTTAGGCATTTAGTTCTGATGGTTAACGTTAGGGAATGCCTTATGTCAGCGAGTGTCCTCACAAAGATAGAAATACTAGTATATTGGTGTGTGCATTCTTGTTTTTATGTAGTCGTGGGGTCTGAAATCCAGGAGTTAATATCTTTGGGGGCCTGGTAGTGTCAGAACGGGTACTGGTGGACCCAATGTACTCACACACACCGGGAGTGGAACACAAAAGGAGTTTATTGGATAACAAAGGTAAAGTTACTGGGTACAGGAGAGGCAAGGCAGATGCAGAGCAGGCAGTACTGAAGAAGCAGAACACGAGGAGAGGAAGACACAGAGCTGGTAATGGTTGGAGGGATGACTTACAGGTGAACGAGGAGAATGAGGAAGACAAGGAAGGAGATGGCTGGGTCACAGGAATGGAGGGGAGTATGCTACACAGGTAAGTTGGGAGAGTGGCATCTCATGGGAGGACAATGAAGATGAGGTTTGGTTGCAAGACGGAGGTGAGGTCTCCACACAGGTAGGTTGGAGCAGTTAAATAGGACGACGAATACGCACAGTCTCAGAGTAGTTCCAGAGTTCAGGAGCCAGGATCTGTACAGGAATAAATACACGGGAGCACGGGAGAGTTCACTAACAAACCAGTGGGGAAATAATGGAAAAGGGCGTATATATGGGAAGCTGAACCAGGAGGTGGATGTGACTCTGGCTGAAATACACTGGCTGGGACATGACAGGCAGGGAAAGACAGGGAAAACCAACAGAAAAACAGAAAGCATAAGACTGAACCACAACAGGTAGTCTACTTGAGGGGACGGTAGGCTGTGTCCTGAGTAGGATGAGTAGTTAGTTGAATTTTAGGAAAATTACAGGGTATAAAGTCAGAGCAAGTGTCGGCTTTGGTCAATGTTAGGGTAAGTCTCCTGGAAATGAATGTAAGTCTATGTATGGACGCTGTAAGTGACGAACATAAGTCTGTGTGTCTGTTTGTGGAGGGACCTCTGAGACTATTACAGTGCAGGTGCATTTATACGGAGACTTGATTACACACAGGTGGATTCTGTTTATCATCATTAGTCATTTAGGTCAACATTGGATCATTCAGAGATCCTCACTGAACTTCTGGAGAGAGTTTGCTGCACTGAAAGTAAAGGGGCTGAATAATTTTGCACGCCCAATTTTTCAGTTTTTTATTTGTTAAAAACGTTTGAAATATCCAATAAATTTCGTTCCACTTCATGATTGTGTCCCACTTGTTGTTGATTCTTCACAAAAAATTACAGTTTTATATCTTTATGTTTGAAGCCTGAAATGTGGCAAAAGGTCGCAAAGTTCAAGGGGGCCGAATACTTTCGCAAGGCACTGTATCTTATTTTTAATATCTTTCTAAGAGGTGCATTTATGGTCAAGCTTTTGACAAGTTTTATTTCATTTGTCATCCTGATTTCTAGATTAATATATGAATTTATTTTTAGAAGAACCAACTTTCATGTGATTATGATTTGACATGCATTTTATTTTATTTTATTTGTATTTTTTTTGGCGGGTGTATTTCTCTTAAAACAAAAGCCTTACAAAGTCTCAAATTTGGGTTAATTTAAGCCTACAGATACACGGTAGATATATTTTTATCTAATTAATATTGGTCTGTCAGTCAACCGTTTGTTACAAATAACACTCATCAGTTCTACATTAAATTTGGTTGGAACCTGTTTCCCCAGCTGTCTATCAATCCTGTTTTTGATTTCAACTCCGTTCCATTAGCAGTTTCTCTTCTTGTCTTTTATTTTTACAACTTTATGCAATTTTTATTACATTGCCTGTATGCAGTTAAAGATTTGATCTACACTTCCTTTCACACCTAAAGCTGCCACCATATCTCTTAGTATTGTTTTGCTGCCACACTTCTCTCTGTTTTTCTCTCAGATGGCCAGTTCCCGGGCAGAGAAGACTTTTCCTTCCTGTGAGTCAGACAATCCAGAGGACCAGGTAAAACCCATGCTGGACTGGGCCAACGGTGGCTTCCTGCCCAAAGGAGAGGAGGGACTCAAACCTACATACAACACTAGTAAGCAATGCAGCAGATGCTCAGAGGGTCTTGGTCTTTACCTCACAACAAGCTGCATATTTTGTGCCTCCTACTTGGTTGTTTTCTGGGAAACACTGTAAGAGTCTAAGTGATCTGTTTGTGTGTCCCCCTGCAGACAGTAACCCTCTGGATCACCAGGTCCTCGACCTATCCCTACCAGACTACTTCCCCACAGCGAAGCGGCCCAAAGTCAGTCTCTGTAAGAACAAGGGCCCCCCTGAGGAGACTTGCAGCAGAGGTAGAGGTCAAAGTTCAAGGAGTTTTTTTTTATTGCAAATTGAGTTTTTCTGATTCTGAAAGTTCCAAATTGAAAAAAAAAGGATTATCATTTGGCATTAATATAGTTTTACAAAGTATAACAGTACAGTTATAGTATGTGCTACAAATCATTTTTGAAAGCCATGAGCCTAAGTATTTTTCCTTCAGTTTATATCCTGATTTTTGTAACAAGATTTGATAAGATTTGAGTGTTTTCAGTAAAAGTTGTTACCAAGTTTACATTTGCATAAACCTTTATTTTACTCATTTGAAAATACTGGTGTCAGTAGGGATATGCAGGTATTAGTGTCTCAGCTTTATGTTTGTTAAAAGTATGAAAAGGAGCAAAAATGACAACTGTGGAATTGGTTTAGTACTTTACATTTGTGTTAGTTTCTTTTGTTTTGTTAGTGGTATTATTTGGTTGAGAGTACTGAGGAGGGCAGTTATTTAAATTTGGCTGAATACTGACAAAAAGCACATTTGTGCAGGGAAGTTTTCATGCATTTTAACACTGTCCCCTTTTCTCTCAGAGCAAATGGTGAATGAAGTTCTGAAAAATAAAAGAAATATAGAAGGTAAACTTGTGCACTTTCAAATCGTGTGGTTCTGTGTTTTTGTGAATTGATTTGTGAATATTAGCTATCATTTCACTTTGCAGCTGTGCTTCTGTGTGTGTGTGTGTGTGTTGACAGAGTTTTGTCTCTCTTGTGGAAACATGAGAGTAGCAACCTTCCACCCGCTGTTTGAAGGAGGCTTGTGCCAAACCTGCAAGGTACAGTGATAAAAATGCATTTGTTTTTTTAGCTCCTCTCATTGTCAGAGTGGTGAAAGCTTTTCTAAACAACAGGAACATACTGTAATAATAATTATGATAAGCACGAGTATAAAGATGAGTAAGAACCAAAATGTTTGGATACTTCACCTAAAGGAATACATTCTCCTGCAACTGGACTACTGGTTTTTATGGGGTTCCAACAGTTTGTACTGATGCCAATAAAATAATACTACCAGTAACTCATATTCAGTATTTTCATTATTAATCTTAAACTGGATTTAATCAGGTACTCTCACTGAGATCTCTTTTTCAAGAGAGACCTGAGAACAAGAAACTTTAATAGTCAGAAAACCCATTCACAGAACCGGACCAAAATGTCAACACATCCAGACGCAAAATCAGTAAAAACAGTCACATGAATCACAAAACATTAGATAAATACTTTAAAACTGCCCTGAGAAATTTTAAAAAATCTAACTTAAGGGAAGATTGTAGTTCATTCCATTTAAAAGGTGCATAGTACCTAAAAACTTTTTTTTGCTAAGGTTAGTGGGTAAATGTGTGACAGCTGAGGATATATAGTTTCTGGATCGAATATTGCAGTTATATGATTTCAATGAGAGAAGAGATATGAGGTAGTCTGGGAGCTGTAGGTCCATCCAGAAGTCTATTTGATTAGTCATAAAACCAGTCATGTCAAACAAATAATCATGGCATAATAATATTAAATCATAGGAATACAGGCATTACTGTATGCATGAAATAAGCAATATTAAGTTTCAGTGGTGAAGTACCTGTCTGTGTTATACTAAAATTATCATCAGTCTCTAAACTTACTACTGACTTTATTCCTGTTTTTGTTGCCAACCAGTGAGGTTGGATTGGTGGACATTTCCAAATGAGAGCAGTTTTTAGAATAAAGCCTGATGTTTTCATGAGTTCCTGGAGGTGGCCCACTGATCATCTTTGTGAAGCATTCAGGCGGTCCTTGTTAGGGGACTTTTTTCTGGCAGACTTATTCACATCATAACAGGGAAAAGCAAAAATGACGCTGAACATGAACACCTTGAGGAAGGAGGAGTGTTAGGTGTACCTAATATATCAACAACTGAATGCATGGTTGAAGAGGATTGTTTTTTAAATTACAACAGGCGTGGCTGATGTACTGCTTTATTACACCGGATGTGTGAAGTTGTGTCTTTGTTTTCTGTGCTTGTATGTGCATGTTAGGACGTGTACTTGGAGATGTCCTACATGTATGATGATGACGGTTACCAGTCTTACTGTACCATCTGCTGTGGAGGTCGAGAGGTTCTGCTCTGCGGCAACGCTAACTGCTGCAGGTCAGACACACACACACACGCACACACACACACACATATAAAGAAACAGGAAATGCACTGTATTAAATACTCCTACTATGTCGATATTTATTTATGTCCGGTCACCCCCTCAACATTTGTCCCTTCTCCGGCAGGTGTTTCTGCGTGGACTGTCTGGATATCCTGGTCAGTCCTGGAGCATCTAACAGTGCACGGTATGTGGACCCATGGCGATGCTACATGTGCCAGCCGCTGTTGCAGTATGGTGCCATCAAGCGGCGGCATGACTGGAGTCTCAAGCTGCAGGAGTTCTTCGCCAATGACAATGGACAGGAATTTGTGAGTCACTTTGACTTTTAGAAAGGCGTTTTATATAAGATTGGGCAAACATTTAATGGTCTCTGTGACTAATCTTGAATGTTAGAGCAGTAGGACTAATGTTTTTTTGTTTTGTATGTATCGACGTGTATGTTTTTATTGTATATGTTACATTTTGTGCCCACACTACAGACCAGTTTCAGTTTGGGTTGATGAGGTTCCTCAAAGAATCTGTACCTCTCTCAGCTACTTGCAGGAGGTCAGCACAATAAAAACAACCCAATTCAGTCCAACAGCTCTGCTTAAGATACAAACATTTTAAGGTTTTCACTATTTAGTGTTTTTCAGAAAATGTATCAATAAGTTGAATCAGAAAGTTGTGTATAAGATCACTGCTGTGGTAGCGTTTCCATGGTGGTTTTGTACTGGATTCCTTTTCTGTGTAACATTTTAAAAAGAATGAGCAGAGAAGGTCATTACGCTTCCAGTAATGAAAACAAGAAAATATAATGTTTTGTAGTATATACTGGTAATCCCATTTTTCATGTTCATGTTGCTTGAGAAACAAAGACACTGAAGAGCTTTAAATACAGTGATGACTCCTGTGACACTGACTAAAGTAATATGTGAGACTTTTGAAAAGTATGTCTTTTATGTGCAGTATGGTGTAATGTTTTTCTTCACTTCAGCCTAAACACAAACACAAGCTGGGTTTGTAGCTTCTTACCCTTTTGACCATTTCTTGTTACATAAGATTAACACTCAGATGCCCAAGTTGTGATTTACTGTAATGTCTTTATTTTCCAGGAGAAACCAAAGATTTACCCAGCAGTCCCTGCAGAGCAGAGACAACCAATCAGAGTCCTTTCCCTGTTTGATGGCATTGCCACTGGTGAGGATGAGTGTGTTTGTGTGTGAGAGAGAATGATAAGTGACTATGGATATTTGCAATTTAGCAAAGTCACAATAGAAAATATCTTGATACCATTGTGGTACTATGACAGTATCTGCATATGGTTATTTCAGTAGTATAACTGCGTTCAGGTCACAGAATTTGAAATAGACTTAGCGATGCGCCATTGTGGACTTTTAGAGCTGTTGTGTGGCAGCATATCAGTTTTCCCGTTTCAAGAAATGACACAGCGGAAAGTAAACTGGTGAACAATTAGCAAATTCTGCTGGACAAAAGCAATAGTAGCCCCATTTAGGAGGTAGACAGATCTTGATATCTCTTGCAGAAACAGTCAGAACACAACTGCACACAACACTTTGACAAAGATGGACAAACAAATCGGATGCACATATGTAAAAACAACTACATAGGAACCACCCTTACACCCTTACAGTATTTTCTCTTGAAAAAGTAGTCCATGATGTTTGGAAACACCTCCAGAAAGGGACAAATCTCTTGTTTATTTTGTTTTTCTAGCGGTTATGTTTTTTATATGGTCTTACTTCATATGTTATGTTTTTTTTAATTGCTTTACTGACTGGAGGTCACTCTAAAATTTCGCTGTACGTGTTACAGTGACAATAAAGGATTATCTTATCTTATCTAAAATTCACCTATATGTGGCTTTTCCAAGAGTATTTTAGCATCATCTTCTCATTCTGGTGCACCAAGCAGCAATTTGCCCAGTACTGCCTCTGGTGGTCTGCTGTGAGTGTGTCTTGTTTTGCTTACAAGATCCAGCTGCTATGATAATATATTATTTTATCTATTTTATAAAAGGATTGCTTCATTGTATTTTTTGATTTGCATTTGTACAAACAGTTCAGTCATTCAGTGCCAGTGACGATTCATGCCAATCTTCTGCACATCTGTAGGTCATGGTCGGCCACTTTTAATAAAGAAGGAAAACAGAAGTACTTAGAGATAAATGGAAAATCATACAAAAATGTTTTTATTATTTAGTAAAGGGCATTTTCTCACCTTTTTTCTTCATTTTGGAATATTATGATAAATATACTGTTGTAGACATTTTATCATGGCAACATCATACCAGGAGTTTTTGGTATTGTTACATCCCATTAAGAGACAGTAAATTAAAGCATGTGTCTGATGTATTGACTACCACTCTGCATTTCATTCCTCTACAATGAATTTGTATCTCTATTTCTAGGCTACCTGGTTCTAAGGGACCTGGGTTTTAAGGTGGGCCAGTATGTGGCATCAGAGGTGTGTGAGGATTCCATCTCAGTGGGTGTTGTCAGGCATGAAGGAAAGATCCAGTATGTCCATGATGTCAGGAACATCACCAAGAAAAATGTAAGGAAGAAAATAATTTGTTTTCTAAATTGCTCAGTTTTTGTCCACAGTGTCATCCCCTTGAATATCTAAAACACTAGCTTTTACAAAGGATTTGACCAACTTAAATAAGTATAATAAGTAAGTAAAACTCAGAATTGAGAATTAGTTAATGGTATTCTTAAAAGTAAGTATTACTTAAATCAGATCAAATATACCAGATCAAAATGGTTTACTAGGGCTACATAGAAGCAGTTGGAAGCTTTTCCTACCCTACCCCAAAAAATGTAGCTGAAAACATGACATATGAATTGTTTCAGTTGTCCAGTATACTGTACATTTTATACTATTGGTGAAAACAAATTGAGTATAAAAAAAAAATATTATTGAAGGAATTACTTTAACATGTACAAACACAAAATGATTGTTCGAAAGCAAATCTGGGCTAATTATTGTAGAAAATAGTTAGTAGTATTTGTTCTGAAACAAAACTGCATTTAAGTGTGTATCTTAAGGTCTTTTCACATATAGAGCAACACAAATAAATTATTTCTTTTTGAAGGCAATTTAAATGCACCACATATATACACATGTAACGTAACACAAAAATGAAATTTGAAGTTCTAAAAGGTCGCACTATAAAAGTCCATATGAAGCGATGTTGACCAGCAGATGCAGGCTTTGCTAAATACAAGGAGTGCATCCTATATCGATAACGTTAAAAAAAATCAACCTTGGGGTGTAAAAAATTAATGCAGCTTTTCGCTCAGCAATATTCTGTCAATGATGTGCAAGGGTTCCTTGAGAGAATATTGATTCGAAAATTACTGACGTGTCAAAAGTGTATGAAAATTTAATCTCCAGTGTGAAAAGACCTTTAGATGAGATTTTAGCACAAACAGCATGAAACACAATAACCTTCTGAAACTTTTGAAATGACCATTTTTGGTGTTTAGTTGCTGATTAAGCTGAATTTAAGAAGCTGCTTCTAGACAGGACAGCTCAGGCTTTCAAAGAAACTGCACCACAAACAGGTCTAAACAGACAGGACCGATCCACTTACCGATCTTTATTCCAGTCCACAGCTTGAGCTTAACCATGAACCCTGACTTAACATGAGACATGTCACTAATCCATATTTCACTCCACATCTTACCATTAACCCGTGACAACTTTAGTCTGTAGTCAAGAATCTTTATTGTCATTATGCATAGCACAATGACATTTTTTCCATCAGCTCTCGGCTTAAAAGACACATTATTTATACACATCATAACACACTATTGTACAAGTCAATATAAAACAATGAGCAAATAAAAAAGGGACGTATGGGATCTAATCAGGTCAGCAACAAAGACACACCTAGTGAGCAAATAACATCAGCTGCGGGTTTGAATAAAATGTTGTTTGATTGGAGATATTTTAGTCTTGAAATGCCAAAAAGCAAGATGGCAACTTGCTTCTCCTGATTCTCTACCGCTGAGTTACTGTTTTGGGCACAACTCACGCCAGTACAACAATTAATAAACAGACTATCTGAACTTTTGGTACAGCTCTCTTGCCCTCTGCTCCTGCTCTTACACACTTCTCCCAGCACCCTCCTTGCACAACTAGTCAAATCCCACCCCTAACCCATAGCAACCACCCCAGTTGCTAACAACAAATAAGAACAGTACAGTGCTCAACTAAATACGGCTGGTGATTTTACAGTATCTCTGGAAGCACAACAATTTATCAACATCAGAACATAACAGTAATAACTCACATTATTTATGCCCTAATGTTAGCTATTTACTGACGTGTCAAAAGTGTATGAAAATTTAATCTCCAGTGTGAAAAGACCTTTAGGTTAGATTTTAGCACAAACAGCATGAAACACAATAACCTTCTGAAACTTTTGAAATGACCATTTTTGGTGTTTAGTTGCTGATTAAGCTGAATTTAAGAAGCTGCTTCTAGACAGGACAGCTCAGGCTTTCAAAGAAACTGCACCACAAACAGGTCTAAACAGACAGGACCGATCCACTTACCGATCTTTATTCCAGTCCACAGCTTGAGCTTAACCATGAACCCTGACTTAACATGAGACATGTCACTAATCCATATTTCACTCCACATCTTACCATTAACCCGTGACAACTTTAGTCTGTAGTCAAGAATCTTTATTGTCATTATGCATAGCACAACGAAATTTTTTCCATCAGCTCTCGGCTTAAAAGACACATTATTTATACACATCATAACACACTATTGTACAAGTCAATATAAAACAATGAGCAAATAAAAAAGGGACGTATGGGATCTAATCAGGTCAGCAACAAAGACACACCTAGTGAGCAAATAACATCAGCTGCGGGTTTGAATAAAATGTTGTTTGATTGGAGATATTTTAGTCTTGAAATGCCAAAAAGCAAGATGGCAACTTGCTTCTCCTGATTCTCTACCGCTGAGTTACTGTTTTGGGCACAACTCACGCCAGTACAACAATTAATAAACAGACTATCTGAACTTTTGGTACAGCTCTCTCGCCCTCTGCTCCTGCTCTTACACACTTCTCCCAGCACCCTCCTTGCACAACTAGTCAAATCCCACCCCTAACCCATAGCAACCACCCCAGTTGCTAACAACAAATAAGAACAGTACAGTGCTCAACTAAATACGGCTGGTGATTTTACAGTATCTCTGGAAGCACAACAATTTATCAACATCAGAACATAACAGTAATAACTCACATTATTTATGCCCTAATGTTAGCTATATTTTAAATGGTAAATGTGAAATCTTGCAAAACCAAAGCTACGTGTTTATTTCTAGCCCAAAAGTGGAGATTTGTAAATGTGCAATAATTTGGAGAAGAGTATGTCCTTGGCCTCTGACCATCTAGTGGTTGCACTTATACTTCACTACTCATATTTAATATTGTGTTTATTAGTGTTCGTTGTTTTATTGCAATGAAAGAGCTCTTGTACTGGAATCAGCAGTTGTGTATCGGAATCGGATCAGAGCTGACAAAATGTGGATTGGCCCATCTTTACTTTTTACCCCACTATATGAATTTGAAAGCTTTAGTTCTTTTGCAGATAATACAAAATATAATCAACAAATATTTTGTATTATTGTTGATTAAGCTATCCAGCAGTAAGTGCAACTGGCTCCATGTTTACCAGCTACAACATTAACTTTATGCTTACATATTAGTATACCTATAATTTTAATCTAATGGGTTATGATAATGAAATGGACCATCCTGCATAGTGAGTACTTTCACTTTTGGTAATTTGCTATATTTTAATATTAATTCTTCTACTTTTACTGTCTTAAAATGCAGGACTTTTAACCAAATATTTCTTAACTGGTAGTGCTACTTTTACTTAAGTAAAGGATTTGACTGTTTCTTCTCTTACTGCTTGTTGGTTTAATTGGTACAAAAACAGATATGTAAAAACAAGAAGTTATGGTTTTATTTTGTGACCGTCTACCCAGTATTTGTGTGTAGCATCTCCTCTGGTGGTCTGCCAGCCTCACTGTGATGAAATGGCTCCAGGAAAATGCTGGATGTAACTCCCTAAAAACCACAAATGGCTGTTTTTTACATATATATTTATAAATGAGTTGCGTCATCTTCTGACTCCACGTCCATATTTAATACAACATCAGTGGTATAAATGTAACTCTCAGAAAGAAAGCAAATGGGGGTATTTCCTAACATATGCACTGTTTCATTAAAAAACATTTTATTCATAGAACATCTCTCTCTCTCTCTGACACACACACACACACACTCCCACATACATGCACCAGAGGCTGCAGCTGCAGTGACATGGTTTAGGGCAGAGGACAAAGAGTAGCTTCATCATCTGCAAATCCCCTCAGGAACCTTCTCACGTGATAGCTACTGTGTGTGTGGCCTTGTTTTTTTATACTTGTGAGGACCCCAAACCGGGAGCCCATTAACAGTGTGGGAGCTTGCCTTCTTCATGGGAACCGGAAGCTGGTTCCACACAAAGTAAACTGAATTTTAGAGAGGTGACTTGGTTTAAGGTTAGAGTTATGGTGAGGTTATGGTTACAGTTAGTCAAGTAGTGGTTATGGTTAAGCTTAGAGTAAGCCTCCTTGAAATGAAAGTCAATGTAAAGACCTGCTAAGTGACAAAAACAAGGGTGTGTGTGTGTTCTTGTACTTGCTACACAGTGAGGACTAAAGCTTGGTTTTAGGGTTCAGGTTAGAATTAGGTTTAGGTTAGGGTTAGGCATGTATAGTCATGGCTAAAAATATTGTCACCCCTGCATTTCTGTCAGATAACGCACCACTTCTCCCAGACAATTGTTGCAATCACAAAGTGTCTGCTATTCTCATGTTTATTTCTTTTGTTTGCATTGGACCAACACAAAAACGCTGAGAAAAGCCAAATCTGATACAGATACATCTGATACATTCCACACAGAGCTCCAAAAATGGGCTGGTTGAGTCAACTTTCCCCCATTTTAACTGGTTGTCGGTGTGATTTCTATGTTGCCAGCACCTGTTGGTTGCTACAGGTGAGTTTCACTACAAATTAAAGCAGCATCACATGCTTGCAGTACAGCTGCTGTGCTGGCCCACATCCAGAGCAGTATACCGGACACCCTGGACCCCCTGCAGTATGCCTACCGACCCAATAGGGCCACCTCAGATGCCATCGCGGCTGCCCTTCACTATTCCCTTTCTCACCTGGAAAATGGAGACTCCTACATCAGGATACTCTTCATTGACTACAGCTCTGCCTTCAACACAGTTGTCCCCCACAAACTCATCCACAAACTGTCCACACTAGGTCTGCACCCCACCCTCTGTGATTGACTCCTGGACTTTCTGACTGGCAGGCCCCAGACTGTCAGGATTGGCAATAGGACTTCAGCCAGCATTGTTACAAACACTCTGTTAGGGTGACTCGAACACAGAAGTGAGTGAGTCACAAAAAATAGACGGACCCAGGTGGCTGACTTCGATGCAGACAGTGCTAGTTTATTTACAGTGCTGAAATATGTGACAAGAAATAAACAGGAGAGTAATACGGGGACCGGGTGTCGAGCTTCGGAGATGTACACAGTCAATGAAGGAGATGATGAGAAGAGGACCGGGCTGCGGACACTGGGACTCACTCCTGGGCTGGTCGTGGTGGATAGTACTGAAGAGAAATAGCAAGAGTACATACTGTAAGTAGTAGACTGTGCATCGACCTGCAGGGTGGTGATGAATCAGAGTGGAGGAGGTCCGTGGTGAAAACAGAGAGAGGGGAGTGAAAAAGTAGGTGCAGCCGGGCAAACCTGACACACTGGCACCCCACAGGGATGTGTCCTCAGTCCCATCCTCTACACCCTGTTCACCCACGACTGTGTTGCCTCCCACAAAGACAACATCATCCTAAAGTTTGCGGACGAAACCACAGTGATAGGTCGCATCACTGGCTGGGACGAAGCAGCCTACAGGAAGGAGGTGGCCGGTCTGGTGTCATGGTGCAGGGACAATAATCTCAGCCTCAACACGGACAAGATGTAGCAGATGATAGTGGACATGAGGAAGGAAAGGAGATCTCATCAGCCACTATTCATCCGGGGGCTCGAGGTGGAGAGGGTGAGCAGCTTCAAATAACTGGGCGTCCACATCAGTGAGGACCTCACTTGGACACTTAACACCATACAGCTGGTTATGCAGCGGCTATACCTCCTGAGGAGGCTGAGGAGGTTTGGCATGTCATCTAGGATCCTTTACAACTTCTACAGCTGCATCTTCAAGAGCATCCTGACCAGCTGCATCACTGTCTGGTACAGCAGCACTACTGCTATGGACCGCAAGCGCCTACAGAGAGTGATAAAGACTGCAAAGAAGATCACCAGGACTCCACTGCCCTTTCTGCAGAGCATTTACCACCACAGGGTGCATAGGAAAGCTGCCTCCATCCTCAAAGACCCCACCCACCCCCAGCACTGACTGTTCCGGTTGGAGGTTTAGAAGTGTGAAATGCAGGACTTCTAGACTGAAAAACTCTTTCTTTCTGGCTGTCATCAGACTCCTAAACAGCTGACTCAGGAACTTCCTCATATAATTCCACCCATACTGTTTACACACTCAGTTAGCACATGCATAATTGCACACTCACTGCTGAATATTTGCACACACAGCTCCCACGTAGCATACATTCTTTCTTCATTATATTATGTTCTTGTTGTATTCTTTATTATGCTTCTTTCATTGGCTGTTTTACAGTGCCTTAGATTTTGAGATTTAGATTTTGTGTTACCTATGTATCTGTGTTATACTTCTCTTATATTGTGTGCCATTTGTGTGGATGGCAAAGTAAGAATTTCATTGTACAGGGAAACACGTTTCCTCATTGTGCATATGACAATAAACCCTTGACCTTGACTATTTTTGATGATTTTGAAAAAGTGTCAGTAATTCTGTCCAGTCCATTTTTGGAGTTCTGTGTGGAACGGATCAGATTTGGCTTGTTCTGATTTTTTGTGTTGTTCCAATGCAAACAAAAGAATTTATGATTGCAACCATTTTCTGGGAGAAGTGGTGTGTTATCTGACAGAAATGCAGGGATGGTAATATTTTTGGACATGACTGCAGTTCTGATAAGTGTTAGGGTTCTTTTCTTTTATGTGAGTACCCTTTCTCCACCTCCAGTTCTCTTTCTGTCTGTTCATCTCTTTCTCCTTCATCCCTGTCATGTCCTGTTTACCTTCATATCTTTCATTGCTCTTTTCCCTTCTTGTCTACAGTGAAAGAACTACTGTATATGAAGGAAGGAGGGGTTTATACATGAAAGAGTAAAAGAGGGCAAAGGGTGAGCAGATATTTAGATGCTGTGTCAAGTACTTGATCAGCTGGCTGACAAATATCAGTCAGCAACTATTTTGATTATTCCATGTCATTTTTAAGTGACATGTGCATATAGTTACTTTAGATAACATAGGTCTCGCCTCCAGTACTACTGTGAGGAACCTTGGAGTCATTTTTGATCAGGATATGTCCTTTAAATCACACATAAACCAAGTTTCTAGAACTGCCTTCTTTCACCTGCGCAATATTGCCAAAATCAGGAGCATCCTGTCCCAAAGTGATGCTGAAAAACTGGTCCATGCACTTGTTACTTCCAGGCTTGACTACTGTAACTCTTAACTATCAGGATGTCCCAATAAGTCCCTAAAAAGCCTCCAATTAATCCAAAATGCTGCAGCCAGAGTACTGACAGGAACTAGCAAGAGAGATCATATCTCTCCCATATTAGCTTCTCTCCACTGGCTCCCTGTAAAATTCAGAATAGAATTTAAAATCCTTCTCCTAACATACAAAGCCCTTAATGACAAGGCTCCATCGTATCTTAAAGACCTCGTAGAGCCTTATCATCCTAACAGAGCACTTCGCTCTCAGAGTACAGGTTTACTTGTGGTTCCTAGA